AGCATGTAATAAAACTGTAGTCATTGACTGCCTCCGTACGTATTTTTAAGCATTGTACTCCTTTTGGAATGGCTGCAATTAGTGGTCTGAGAGGCTTTCTCGAGTAAAATGACGAGGATTATCCAGTTTCCATAGTTTTAACCCTCTTTTCCTCATAAGATCATCTTAATAAAATAAAAGCTGCGAAGAATCGTTGAATTGGACAAGGATAATGAAATGGTGATTTGGATACCCCATCAACCACTTCACAATGAACATGTTGTTTTTCACGGTGGATCGTATGTTCCACACACAATCACATTTTCCCGGCTTTACGAGATTGCTGTTAAATACCAGCTGCTAAATACCAACTGATGATGCTGTAACTAATGCCTGATTTTCTCTTGCATCCGCATTAGACTTTTGATGTTTTCCTAAAGCTAACTAAGTAGTTGTGGTATCTAAATCTAACCAAACTTTATTTTAAACCAATTATTTAAAAAAAATAAAAAAAAGAAAGTCATGTGTACTATTGCATTACCAGATTTCCGATCACCTAATGTGTATTTTGTCTGAAACAAATGGTTATGTTGACGATGCTCACTCCCATAAAAGGTTCAGGTTGAAGAACATTGGCATGATTGTTTGGCATGATTGTTTGTTTATTTTTTCAGTATTTCACTGTTGTGACATTGGTTGCGTGCTTCACTACAATTGACTAATACAATTAATGTGAAGTCTTATGTTTGTCAAATGAGATGTGTTGCAAGAACACTCTTCCAAATTTGTAACCAAATGGTTTGCAAAACAATATCACAAAATACTGGCTACATTTAAAAAATATATATATTCTTTTCAAGATTCTACCAATGATACATATTGGTAAGAACATCATACTAAAAAATAAAACAAAATAATTCACGCAAACTTTTATTCATCGATTTTTCTTAACGATACACTCAAATGGTGTTGCATTCAATGAATGAATTGAATCACACGCTATTGTTCTATATTTTTCAGGCAAACTGTGAGCCATGCGGCATCCTCTGAAGCGCAGTGAGAGATGATAACTCAACTTCATTTTTTGGAGGTTCCAAAAGATTTCCTAGTTCATTATTTGATTTTTACCTGTAATGGAACTGTCCGCTTTTTAATTTAGTCTTATTTTTAATTATTTATTAATCTTTATTATATCTGGAAATCATGATTATGAGAACCAAAACTTTCACTTTGTAAACTGAATTTACTTCTAGTCTTTACCAAGCTGAAAGCAACTTGAATTCTACTCTTGATTTACACATAAGAATCCACCGCCATCATCTGTCTGACTTGCCGTTTATTACATGGGATGTTAAGCCTATGGTTTAACTCATAAAGCGGTTTCAGTGGTTGGGAACTGCAAGCAAGCGATTAGTCTGACTGCAAACGAGCCTTAATGTACAACAGATTTCAGCGCCATTTGATGATGGGAAGTGGCTGACTTAATGGAAAAGGGTGAAAGTTACATGCTGACAATCTGGAAACATTTTAAGCAAATTTTCAAATATTCAGTGGCTCTATGTCTAAAAGCTGATACAATGTTCACATTCTTTGTTAAAAATAACGTAAAACTCCCTCTTTTTTCTTATGGTTGAGGAAATTAAGTTCACACTAAAGTCTTTCATTGAGAAAGCAATAAAAAAGAAAATGAAAAAGGTCCGCTCACGAGATTCAAACAAAATAGATAAAATACGACATTGACTTTTTTTTTTCATTCGGGCATAGTTTTCCTAATTCCCCTTAGCTTAGTCATATTATTGCTATGACCTACATGAAAAGGCCATGCAGTCACAGCTAGCATGAACTACAGCCCCAGCTTAGTGAATCAGGAGCTGACAGCTTGCCCTGGGCATCCTAATGAGACGTAAAGATTACATTAGCATGTCAGACATACTCCCCAATTAAAAGGAGTATTCGAGATTCTCTCTTTCCAAAAAAAGATGAAGAAAGATGTGTAGGTACTGAGTAAGCTCTACAAGTCCATGCTTGCCTCCATTTCTCAGCTACACGGGGTGTGTCATAGGTGAATTACTCACACTGTCTCCAGGTTTAGACTAATGTGTTTGACCAGTTACCATGTTGTCAAAGTTTAGGAAAAACAGGCAACAAGCTGTGACACATTTGTCCTCGACTGTTACTGTTTTGTTTTTTTTTAGTTTACCGGATCCATAAAATCACAGCCTTTAATTGCACACCTCTGCTGCTCATCTAACCAATTGCAACCATGCAAGCTCTCTCAGTAAGGATCGACTGCCAAAGATCATGGATGTGAATGGAACTTGAGTGTTTGGCCAAACAAAAAACCCTGTGATGAGATGGAGTGACAAAATGTACAGAGAAAGAATGAACAAAGTGAATAGCCATCAATCAAGTCATCTGACACAGGGAAGTGTCGCCACAACCATGTTTAACCGGTCATCAAAGGAACTCAAACAATCCTCATTTTTTTGGCTCTCTGTTGAAGAGATTCACTCGTACCTCTCTTCTGCTACCATCTCCTCCTCCCCCTCCAATTATCTGTTCTTTCAGGGCTGTGCATACAAGCTAACACGAGCAACTGAAGGCAGTTAAAGTCAACTGTGAGGGCAGTGAGCCACCCGTTCAGGTTGACAGGTCTGGTTAGACAGGTTCTGGGGGGAGAGGCTGATACTTGTTTAAATGCGAGGTATCTGCTGCTGTTGCCTGTCTACTCCATAGCTTTTTTTTTTTTTAAGCTAGGGGTTTTATACCTATTGACCTCCAAAGCAATATTGTTGCTAATGTATTCCATTCAAAAAGAAAAAAAGACAATTTGCAATAAATGACTTTAAATGAAAGCTGTAGTTTAACTTCAATGAGTTGGTGAATTGGACAATGGGTTTCAGTCAGCTCTGGTTTGGTGCCTGTAATGCCCAAACACTCATAAAGCTTCTGAAATACACAAACAGACAGACCACATGAATCAGCAAAGACTGGCAGGGCAGGTGTTGATTAAACAACATTGCGCCACCAACAACTCCCAGCCCCAGTTTTCTCTTACCGACATAAAAAGACCTAATAATAATAAACCTGGAGTTGTAGACGGAAAGTTAGAAAACAGAGATTCAGCTATAAAAAGGAATGTATTTACAATACAATTTGTAATGATGCACTCCAGTCAAAGCTCAAAATATTTGAAAATTAACATTTGGAGTCTTTCTGTTTTCATAAGTGTGACATTTGCAGGTAAAATGTCATAAGGTTTAACGTGTTGATAAGAGAGAAGGTTTAGTTGATGACCAACTGATTTAAACAAGGTTAATAAACATTACGGATAAGTCACAGATGATGCAGTATTATATCATCAGCAGTCCTGGTCATGCTCGGGTGGAAAATACTTCTATAAGAAATATTTCCATTTGCATCAGTAATTCAGATTAAAATGACAACTATAAAGAGTGATTATCTTTCGATTAACACCACAATGGAGGTTGATGAGGGTACACCACCTGTCCCGGGAAAAAGAGAGCTGAAAGAAAATAACGCTGTGCCCCGTCCTACTCAGTAAGTGTCAACTCTTTTCCAAGTTCATATATAAACAAGCCTTTTGTCCGCTCACTGCTGCACATCTTTCCTCATCACAAGATGTACTTTTGAGGTCGGTGCCTCCACTAAGCCACACAGCCTATTTGTGAGGCAGAGTCAGAGCAGATAATGACGACTACTGTTCTTATTAGTTTAGCTGGGGGATTTTCTTTGAAGATTATTAATAGGAAAAAATCTCCTAACACATGACTTAACCATCCTCTGTGAAACATTGCTGAAACATGAGGCTGGAGAAAAACAAAACAAAAAGAAAATGTGTGTTTGTGTGGCCTCAGCGACATCACTCACACACAGGATCAGCCTGAGGCTTTCATTTTTATTTGTATTTTATCCTGGAACTTAAAAACACTCTTTTTTAACATATTGTCCAAAAAAAAAAGTAAATCATGCCCACTTCCTAACCGCTACTCGATAAAAAAAACTAGCCCATTTATAAAAGTTTAAGACATCATCATTGAAAGTAAAACCAAATACCAGAATGATACCATTATTTACAGAAGCCCATTAAATTACAACATAAATTAGAAAAATATTTACATCCAGGACAACACACTGGATAAAATTCTATGTTTGGAATTTAATGTCTAATGAAAAACATTTCAAAGAAAAAAATATTTACATTTGCACACATTCTCACGACATACAAACACTCGGGCAGGATTGGGCGTGCTGGTACGCTACTAGTATTAACTTGAGGTTTTGAATACTAGGGATCGGAATACCTATGTCATAAAAACTGCCATATTCCCTCATGCCATGTTTAAAAGACAGGCTATTAATGAAAGCATGGCTATGCCTGTGATCCACACGAACACTGAGGAGGCTTTTACTATAGCAATGTTTAAGTCCGGTTTCTTAACACAAACTGAGAAACAATCATCCATCACAGGACTCAATCATCTCCCATGAACAAATCACAATAACACTGGTGCCATTCTGAAGCGGATGTACAATTCAAGCACTAAAAAAAAAAAAAAAAAGCGGAGTGTACTTTCTTCTCTCTTGCAAACACATATAAAAATTGTCCTTTGCAGGTCCATTGAGACACAGGAAATCAGTGGATTTGCCTCCAGACAGAGGAGGAGGGGGAAAGCTAAGAGGAATTCACAGCCACAGCAACTCATCTTGAAATGATGTCCTCTTGAGAGAGACAGAGAGAGAAAGAGAGAGAGGAAAAAAACAGAATGCTCTTTGTTTTTGTATTTTCCCCCTTTTTTGTTAACAAAGCACAAATCCTACGGTTGTAGCATCATTCCATTGGCAAATGGATGGAACTGCAGAGTGGTCAGTGTAATATAGTTTCGAAACACAGGTTTTCTATGAAGACCGGTCCACAGCGTGAACCGTTGGGAGTCGACACTGCCGGATTTGCAGCCCGGTTGTTAAAAATCCACAACTTTTCAGAACTGAAAATTGACTGCGACCACACACACACACACACACACACATACGCATCCACGCACAAATTCATCTCTTAAAATTACAATACTAAATATTAACTTTTAATTTGAAAAAAATGTCCAAAAAAGGGGCAGACAGGGCAGCAAGATTATTGGATTCTGAGGTTCATAGGGATTATCCTTTTGAGCATTCATTTCCTGTGCTTTTCCATTTTGTCGGCAGACTTGCTCCCGCTATCTGAGGATCCCTGGGTGTCACTGCCAGAGCTCAGGTACATCTTGTCCACTTGTTTGAGCGCTTCGTTCAGGTAATTCTGGAGCGAGGTCATTGCGGCGCAGATGGCTGGAGAGCCAAAGCCGTGGGTGATGAGGCTGAAGTGAGTCAAGCAGCCCTGGATTCCAGGCTCCAAAATTGGTGCGGGCCTTGAGTTCCCCAAAGGTGATCGGTCCTGAGTGAGCAGGTCTGTGAACTCCTTGCAAATTTGCCTGAAGGGAGAAAACCAAAATGAGAACAGATGCACATCAAATGCTGATTCACTGTGGCCTAAGAGCAAATGGTATAGATGACATATGAAATAAGTAAACCAGACTGCCGAGAAAAAAAAGACATTAAAAACAACTGGCAACTTCATACTATTTCTCAAGTCTACTATACATGCAAAGTAGGCGCATACCAAAACATAGATATACTCACTTGGCAGCGAGGAGCATGTTCTTGCGAGAATTCATCTCGTTTCGCTCAACATGTGGCCTGCCCAGGTATTCAGCGATTGCCTTTGAAGGGAACTCAGTCTCACAGACGTAACCGAAGTCTCTCGCTAAATGAACAGCTTCACCTGTGGTTAAAAAAATGGGGGAAAAGGGAAATTAAGACATTTTCAGTCTCAGAAAGAATCACAACACAATAAACGGCAAATGGATTAACAACAATAAGAATTAAAAAAACATAATTTTTCAACCATCACTATAAAAATGTAAACTTTTGAAGAGAATAATCCTCAAAGTTCTGTTTTAACCTTAAAAAGAAGTAGGCAGCCAATAGAAGCAAAGCAGGTAAATTAGAGAATAATTGCCTCATCTAAATCTTCTGTTGTGGGCAAAAAAGGGCAAATTAATTTAACATATTAAAATTTTGAGGTTGCTTTGGTCTGTTTAGTGATAATGGGCTTATGTGGATAAATGCTACCAGGGAGTGCCCTAGGCATCTACAGCTCCACTTATCGATAGACACGCACTTCACTTTCGTATGCAGGCAGCTCTGCACAAGCTTTAAGGTCAGTCGCGCCTCCCGGCAGATGAGCATAAGCTAACAGGACTAAATCCGGCTTTGAAGGTCTCTAAATAACACGAGCCTTTAGAAATTATCTTGCATAGAATCATTAGCCTATTTATGAAAAAAACTGAAGATTATCAGGCATGTAAATCTGTAATCCTGAAAAAACATCACCGCATGACACCAGAGATCTCACTGTCATTCTGAGTACAGCCAAAACTTAAAAAGGCAACCTGGATAACTAAGAGTGGGTAAATTATGCTAATGGATATTTTACATGACACAAAGATATGAAAGAACAATCAAGTTGAGAATGTGTGGCTTTAAACCCAATCTTGTTGCACTGAAGTTGTGATACTGCAAGCTGCATGAAAAAGCTTCAGAAATTCACTCAAAGAAAAATTTATTACGGTATGGGAAATATCCAGTTGGTTTGCCTGATCTTATAGAAGTGAATACAATTAAAAGAAAAATTGCGAGCAGATGCATTCCGCCTAATTGTTTGTATGATTGCACCAAAAACTCTGTTTTGTTCAACTTTGCAGAGAGTAAAGAATGGGAAAACAGCAAAAGAGAGTTTAAGTGCCTGTCTGGCCCTTGAATTATTTTGTGAGGGCTCAAGAAAAGGGCACGCCAGTTGCTTTTATTTTCACAAATTAATATAACCAAAGGAACAAAAGTTTCCCAACAAAAATACTTGACGAGCGGAGGATGGCCGGAGTATTCAAGACAACTTAAAGCACACATGCAGCAATTACAGACGGATTCTTCCACATTCTCGCTTTATATGAGCAGCATTCCAGTCAGTGCAAACAGCAGTTACACCTGAAAAGGTATGTGTTCTATTGAATGAGATGTCATACCTTCAACTAGTGAAGTAAGCAGAGTGACATTGGCTGCCTTCCTTCTTCCTGCAGGGAGGTTAAGGCCAATTTTGTCCAGTTTTTCTCTCAGAGAACGACCCCCATTCTTTGACTTGGCTCTGTGGGACAAGACAAAAACAGTCATGATTACGCCTGTTTTAAATTAACTGTGTTTCATCCCAAATTAAATTTTCACACACCATGTTGAGGTTTTTGTAGAAATGAACTCACCAGAAAATTAAAACATTTGTATGCCATTTGCTTCTGTCTTATACTTCTAATAACAATTGCTTTTGAACCCAAAACAAATACACACCAATCACGCACAAAACGCCTCTCTTGACCCAGAAAACATCAGCATATCTGATGATTCAGTTTTAAAAAAAGCATTGGAGGGAGATCACTCCTGCATGCATTTGCAGAAAGCTGTTTAACTCTTCACTTGTTTTCGGTGGAGTCATTTTTTTGCATGACTGGCACGCACGCCTTCCCTCTGCATGACGGGTGAGAGACGGAGCATCTTTAGGGAGGCATGCGTGTCTGAGTGAGCCCCCACCCTTTCACCCCAACCTCTCCCCCATTCCCCTCCACTAACGAACCCCCTCCCCTTTGGTATATGACCTACTTAAAAATGACTGTTTGTGTCGGTGGGCGTGTGCGTGCGTATCAGCATTAACAAAGGCACATGGGAAGTGGCAAACATGCACTCCAACCACAAAAAACGCTCGGGTCAGCGGGAGTAAACGCAAAATGAAACCTCCCTGTCCCTCAGCAGACTGCCACATTAACATATGCACCATGAGGTCAGTTGCTCTGACACATGTAAACCTATGGACATTGCACACATCAGCATGTGTAAACTGTACACACTAAACCACACACGGGGTCTTCAGATTGGTATTAAGAGTGTTGATGTTACAGATATTCTGAGGAGGCATTGAAGCAAAACATTTCGGATCAAACACTTGAACCATTCAAAAACAAAACAAAAAATTATGAGCCAGAATAAGTCAAGCTCTAATTTCAAAGGTGAATTAGCTAATTTCTACGCAAATCTACAGCTAAAATGTAACAGTTTAATTACTCCTCATATCTGAGACATTCTAACTAACTAACTAACAGCTTGTAGACTGAATTTTAAAAAGCAGATGTAAGGCAGAGCTGTTCTATTCCTTTGTTATGTTTTACAAACCACGGGGAAGAGGGGAAAATACCCTTAAATCCAACCAAGCTGTCATATTGAATGAGTCTGAAGACTGACCTGCGTAAAACGCCTCCTAGGAGTGATGCGTTGAGGCATTCCGGGGGTGACAAACGTCTCTGGACTTCTGCCACGGTAACCTTGTACTTGGATGTAGAGCTCAGCAGGGAGAGACGGCCTGGCACGGAGCAGAACACCTCTGTGGGGTTTGATACCATGCCCAGCAGGGACTCTTTCTGAAAGGGAAGGCCCAGTGCATTGCCCTTGGGTAGTGTGACAGGGCCTGGTGAAAAAGGGGGAGAAAAAATATATATTGGCTTAAAAGCTAAATACAGCAAAACAGAAGAATAAATCAGTTGTGATTGGACAGTTGGCAATGTTTACATATTCACTTTTCCATTGTATGTGCATAAACTCTAATCCCATTATCATTTGGTCGACCGAAGAAACCCATATCTGCTAGAGGAGCATTCACAAAAAAAAAAAAGAAAAACTTCTGGGCCCTTTTGAGACTGTGTGTGGTTTTTGAAACATTGGCTGTCTGATGGTTAGCCCTCATTGCAAGCACCATCCACAAACAGATATGCACATACAAACTGCCCCTCATCTAAGCCACACACACACACACACACACACACCTGAGCTCTGTAAATAATTCGGTCTCACTGAGCCCGGGTGATCGAAGCTGTGTGATCTCATTGTAAAGTTTGAATAAATTGCCGGTCACAGATTTGTTATTTCCATCAACCACAAATGCACTGACAGTCATAAACAAAACAAAACAAAAACAGTACAGCACACTACAATACAAAACACAGCTATCTTATTCCTCACCAGCAAGAATGCCCCCCTGATAATAAGTCCTCTGTAAGCGATCAAGGTTCCTGCCACCTCGAAGTCCTAATACTGAGACAGAAATCACAGAATCATATGAGTGCTTTAATTCTTTTCTGGAATACATGGCTGGGAATGACATGCCATTGTTTACAAGTGGAAAACCTAGATTGCCGATAGCGTGCCCCTGAGCCTGGGAACTATATAATGAGTCACCAATCATTTCCACAAACTAGTTGATTTAGTGTTCCATGCAAATAGCATGCTCCTCATAATTATGCACTTTAGAAGGCTGTCTATCTACCTATTTATCTATCTATCTACCTATCTATCTATCTATCTATCTATCTATCTATCTATCTATCTATCTA